AGAGGACCATCTTGCAATGATCAAGCGCCTACTCCAAAATCCCCCTACTTTGAATGCTTGTGTTTTCAGTTAGGATCAACGAAGAAGGATGAAATTTAGCTGAATAGGACAACTTTTTGTGCCACATCCAGTCGTGCAAATAAAAAAGCAATTGTAGTCATACCCAAATTGCAAATTGGTGCCAAAGTTGAGCAAAAAAATCAGTTCCTGAAATAATGACCATCACAATAACCACAATAATAAATCATAAATAACTTAAAGATGCGGCAATTTAAATCAGGCAATAATTTTCCCAATAGTAGTCTACATTAGTGTCTAGGTGCGCTTAATTTAAAAAATTCAGGAGGAAAGCAGAGGATGGCAAAAATGCCAAAAAAAAAATTTTATGCAAATTTTACCCTATCTTCAGCATAAAAAATCGGAATATGGGTCATCTTTAATTTTTTTTTTGTTTCATTTGAAAGACCGTTGTTTCCTGTACCAAATTTATTGTTTTTCATTTTGTGTCCGGGCTTTCTACATAAGTTGAGAAATGGCTCATGTTTTCAAGGTTACTCCTCGCATTCAATACGGTAAGAGATATGAAGTAGCTTAAATGGAGGCAAAATTGCATAATCATGGGGCCAACATTATGCCTCTAAAAAATCAAGGCTAACATGATTAGTTTTCGAAATATTTGAATAAAACCGATATTTTGGAAATCCGTTTTTGTTTCATTTCAGCTTTGTTTGAGGTGATACTGAAAAAAGAGCACTTTCTCATGGCAATTTTTTGCCCACTGTCGAATGGCATAATCAATTTTTATATGTAACGTTTCGTCTCTCCAGGACCATCATCAACCTCATTTTTTTAAATACGACCCTGAAAATTTTAATACATTTTTCGCAAGTCTTCATTACCTCCAATAGCCTCAGCCCGAACCAGATTTCAGACATTTTGTCTCAAAAAATTCATCTTCAATGTATTCGTTACAAATTTATCTACATTTTTTATTTATATTTCTATGTTTATTGAATAATATTTTATTGTAACGTGTGATGGTAATAGTTTAAATAACTAAGTGGATTTCACAGGGTCTAACGACACTTAAGAGTGTACGATAATCCAATAAACATAGAAATCTAAATAAAAAATTTTGGTAAATTTGGATCGAATACATTGAAGATGAATTTTTTTCGAGACAAAACGTCTCAATTTGGTTCGGACTGAGGTAGTACAGTATTAAGGGTCATGAAGGCTTGCAAAAAATGTAATAAAATTGCCAGGGTTATATTTAAAAAAATATAATAGTATTATTTTTTAAAATATAATATGTAATTTAATATTAAAACAGTTAACAGACGATTAGCATTGAAAAACAAGGATTATTTAGAAGATTAACGATAAATTAAAANCGGCTTTAAAAAATATTCATTCTTCGCAAAGTTATTAACGAAAAACCTTATAAAAAAATTGGACTATTTGTTTATACGCCTTTTTGTGGAGGTTAGCCTATGAAATTACAATTTCCAGTTGCATATCTTGAAAATATAAGTCAAGACGAAACAAATGAGCCCCCATAAGGCCCTTTATTATAACGCTAACAGCCGCAGTTTTGCAATTGAAAAAAAATGCTATTTCTAATAAACAAATGCAAAAGCTCGTAAACAAATAAATATTTTTTTACCAAATGTTCAGGGTTTCTTAAGGGTAACAAAATACAACTTTTACTGCAGTTGAGAGACGATTTATGCTCTTTTCTTCTATTTATATCAAATTCAAATTTCACTGTTTTTTTGCAATTATTTAAATTGTTAATGGATTTTAATTTAGTAGGTCTCAAATGAAGCGTTTTTTGAAAACCTATAAGTATAAACAAAAGCAAATAGTCCTGTTGGAGAACGCTTTTTAATACAGATAAAAAACTCCATTTTTGGTTAATTTTGACATTATAACCTTTGTTTAAACAATGATCTTGTTTTAAACCGATACTTTTTGGGAAATTTTATTTCTTTTTGCCTAAACTAACGATTAAACCAAGTTTCAATCTGAAACGAATTTTTTTACATTTTTTTTTTTTTTTCATTTACTGGGCTATTAGCAGTACATCTCTACAGATATAGTAACAAAAATCAAATCAACACTTAATTTTTACAAAATGTAGAATATATTGCGAGTCATCACCTTCTAATTAATCCAAACACTTTTTTTGCCATTGATTGATTACAGTTATCGTATCTTACACGCGTAATATACCGATAAAAAAATTCGAAATACTGATCTCTTATCTCACCTCATCTAACACAGTTCTAAATATAAAAGGACCGCAATTTTTTGCAAACCATCTTAGTTTCTCCAATAAATTCAGTCATGAAGGCAGCGGTACTGTGTATCTTCTTCTCTGTAGCAGCTTGGGCTTTTCCCAAGGTACGTAAGGATTATTTTCATTTCCACCCTTACTATTTTTTTAAATCTAGGGCCAAGATGAAGTACAGTACAACAGGATGTACGTCGACCCTTCAGTTGACGAACTTCCCATTGATCTACTGCCAAGGATAACCAACGGAGTAGAAGCTGCTCCACACTCGATTCCCTACCAAGCTTATTTGATCATCACAAGCTCCACCGGTAGCAGGTGGTTGTGCGGAGGCTCTCTGATATCTCCAACGCTTGTGCTGACAGCTGGTCACTGCGTGGATGAGTGAGTATGAGTTTAAACACTTCACCAGACCAACCGCCTTTTTTCTTCTAACACGTGCCTCTAGCTTCTATTTATTGGTTTTAGTGCCGTTTCGGCAGCGGTGTACCTTGGTGCTCATAATCTTCAGCAGTCAGAACCAACCAGAATTCTGGTAGAAGCCAAGAATTTGATTCGTCACAAAGATTACAACGAAGATAAAATTAGCGATGACATAGGACTTATTGTGTTTGATGATCCTGTGGAACTGAACGGGTCAATCGATGTAATAGCTTTGCCACGACGTGGAGAAACTGATGATTATGTTGGTATGCAACAAATTGTTAAAATTCAGTTCTTCTATGCATTCTATCTTGGTACATGGTACATTTATTTCTTTTAAGGCATTGAAGAACGAAGCAATCTATCTATTTCTTTTTTCTTCCAGGGGCAAATGCCAGAATGAGCGGTTGGGGCCTGGTATCTGGAGATGGAGAGACTTCACCGGTACTCCTGGAAGTGAACAGCACTGTGATCAGTAACCTCCAATGTGGCTCCGTCTACAGCATCGTCATTGACTCCCATGTGTGTACCTCAGGAATTGGGGGGGTAGGATCTTGCCGTGGAGATTCTGGTGGTCCTTTGGTTTATAACAACGCCCTCATCGGGATCGTCTCCTACGGGGCCAAAGGTTGTCTCCCTGGTTACCCCTCTGCCTTTACTAGGGTTACCAGCTACCTTGACTGGATCGAGGAGAATAGTGACTTGAGATTTTAACTTATATTAATGTATTGATTAAATAAAAATCTTTTAATATTTTTATATATTTTTGCTCAAGAACTTAACTTAAATAAAGATAACCTAAAAAAATGGCAGAACAGAAAAAATAAAAACTTTTCTCTTTTTTGAAATTCGATTTAGTGTTAGGAAATTTGAGTTCCTGAATCATTAAATTTATTATTACACAACAGTGTAATATATTATACAGGGTGTTATTTAAGTACGTGGCCAAACATTAACGAGTGATTTTAAGACGAAAAGTTTATATAAACATAGGTCCGGTAATACTTCATTTTCAAGATACAGCTGTCAAACTTTTTCAAAAAACCGCTATTTCCTAAAAATATTAATCCTTTAGCCGATTTTGTTGAAATTGGGCAGTGTTATTTATGGTAGAAAGAGGCTAACTTAGCCCTAACTAGATTAAAATTATTGAATCAGTGGCGTCGTGGGGAGCACCTTAACAAATATTTTTGGCAAAAAAAGTGCGCCACTGGACTTTTTTAAAACTTTTATAATTTTTTTCGCATTAAGCAACTAAAAATATAACTTGTCCCTTGAATATATCAATAGTCTATTCTAGTTTTAGACATTGTTATAAAAATTAATGCTAGGTAAATAAAATATTTGTGCCTTATTAGTTTTAAAAAGTCAGTGGCGCACATTTTTTTTGTCAAAAATATTGGTTAAAGTGCCCTCAGGATACCGTACGTATTTATATTATAAAGGGTGTTATTTAAATACGTGGTCAAACGTTAAATGGGACAACATAATAAAACATTAAAACTATCAAAAAATATTGTTATTTTTTCCATATCAATAGTCTATTCTAGTCTTAGACATTGTTATAAAAATTAATATTAGGTAAAAAAAATTTTGTGCCTTATTAATTAATATATATTTTTTTGTTGTCCATGCAATAAAAAGATTTTTATTTTTTTTTCTCCAAAAAGGAAGCAAGATATGAAAAAATTAAAGAGACAAAAAAGTTGTATTTTTAGTTGCTTAATGCGAAAAAAATTATAAAAATTTTAAAAAAGTCAGTGGAGAAAAATTTTTTTTTCAAAAATATTGGTTAAGGTGTCCCCAGGGTTGACAGTGGACTTAATAAATTTTTTAATCTGGTCAGGGTAAATTAGCCCCTTTCTACCATAAACAACACTGCCAAATTTCAACAAAATTCAGGAAACAAAAAAGTTGTATTTTTAGTTGCTTAATGCGAAAAAATTATAAAAATTTTAAAAAAGTCAGTGGAGACATTTTTTTTTCAAAAATATTAGTTAAGGTGCTCCCCAGGATGCCACTGGACTTAATAATTTTAATCTAGTTAGGGCTAAATTAGCCCCTTTCTACCATAAATTACACTACCAAATTTCAACAAAATCGGCTAGAGGATTATTAAGTTTACGAAATAACCATTTTTAAAAAAAATTTACCGGATCTATGTTTATATAAACTTTTTGTCTTAGAATCACTCTAAGAATCACTCCTTGAAATTTGGTAACGTACTTAAATAACATCCTGTATTGATACATTCATATACAACGGTTAAGAATAAAAAATGTTTAAATTGCGTTTGTATGTAATGCAATTTTATTTATCTGTTACATCAGCAGACGAATGAGAGGAGAAACGTGTTTCATTAAAAACAAACGAATAGACGGATAATAGTAATCTGATCTAATCATTATCAGTTCAATTCATTTGAAACATTTGTCGAGGATAACATTATAATGAATGTAAGTATATTAATATTTGCACATCCACTTAATACCACGCTTTTGATTAACGATTTATTTTCGTAGTAATAAAAAATATATCTGTAATGTCTTAAGAGATAAAAATACTTTAATCTAAGGTCTTTTTCTCAACTTAGTTCTCTAAGTTATAGAATAAAGCAGTTACTGGATAAGAAAGGTGTCCTACACCTTTTTAACCACGTACTTAATACATTAAAAGGAACAAGTTTTGCCAACTACATTTTCTCGAAAACAGAAAGTTTTGTCCCATTAAAATAACGCTAACGAGCTTTAATTAGCACTAATTTCCATTTTTTATTATTATTTCTGTTTACTCAACTAACCATGTCGGGTAATAAAAGTTTACGTAAGCAGTAGTAGCAGCATTAGTAGGTTGTGGGCTGCCTCAGCCTGACAAATAGCTCATAAGTGGGCTCTTTTAGTCTGACTCTGACCTTTCTCGAACCTTCCTGACGCCTTGACGAACGCCAGGATTGTAAACCATGGCAGGTCCCTCACCTCATCCCCTTACATCCTCCCGAAATCTGTGAAATGTCCCAAAAGATGGATAGGAGTATCCCCTTCTCCACATTTCAGACATGAATTCAAGGCTCAGCAGCCGTCTCGTCTTAGATCTACTAGGCCCATATATGAAGCTATGAACCTGCCTACATCCTCTGTTCATCCTCCAATTTTGACCTAATGTTTGTTAGGCCCATTTATTAAGGACCCGTTAATGCTACCTTGTGTAATTCTGAGTACTGGTTCAGGTCATTGACCAGCGAACTGATCTGCCCTCTCGTTGCCAGGGATACCTATATGAACCGGAACCCAACCTCTCTTCATCTGGCCCATAACCCCAGGGCGTCTCAACACTCCTGAACGGATAAAAATTTTCTCTTCTACACAGTCCCTTACCCCCTCCTTACTTGTCACCATCAAAATAGCGAAAACCTCTGCTAATACTGTGGTATACATAGGTACCCAATAAAAAGTTTTCCTGGATACCACCTTCTTTCAGGTATATTCCTGCTCCTGAATACTCACCCAAGATCCCAGGGGGACATATCATCCATCTGCTTCCACTGCTCATACTTCCTAACCTCAGCCAATCCTCTGCTGCAACCCCCATATTTATTGTAAACAAATAAAAGTTATTTCTTTTGATGAGTTAAAATGTTGGCTGTTAATTTGTGCTAATGATGATTTTACCTTAAAATAAGATATTAAGAAGATAGACAAAAAGCATTAAGATATTATTAAGAAGATAAGATATTTAAGAGAAACCAATCTCAAAATTTTGAACGACGTATACCCTCAGAAGAGTGTATTTTTAGAAATCGACTTAACACTGTTCAACCATTTGGTAATCCTCATACCGAACTTTTAATTAATTGATTGATAACCACTTCACAGCCGTCTTAATAAATAAACATACTTGGAATATTTTGATAACACTACAAAATAGAAAAATCTTATCTACTCGAAATATTGCAAATATAAAAGGACCTGGTATTTTTAATTAATTTTATTTCACTGAACGTATCCAAGTATGAAGGTGGTAGTACTGTTCTTCCTTGCTGGTGCGTTGGCTTTGCCAGCGGTAAGTAAAATTATTAATTCCATGTGTTGCAAATATGCGAATAACGATTCCTAATACTTCTTCACTATAGGATCTTGATGAGGCAGAGTTTAAAGCTATGTCTGTTGACCCAACATTTAACAAACTTCCTCCAGATTTGTCGTCAAGGATAACCAATGGAGTAGAAGCTTCACCTCATTCAATTCCCTACCAGGCCTACTTAATTGTTTCGGGTTCAAATAAGAGTTGGTTGTGTGGTGGATCCTTAATATCTCCAAAGCATATCCTTACTGCAGGCCATTGCGTTGATGGGTAAGCTTAAGACCGTTTATGCAATAACGAAACATTTTCCCATCTCATTACTTCCAAATTCTAATTTATACCTAGTTACCAATATTTTCCCTCAAAAGACTTATATTCAAATCATCTATTTCTTTATTATACACCAAATTCTTGAACCTTTTAACCCAAGTAGCTTATCAAACTGATAGTAACTAACAAAAGAGCATAGTACATTTAATCTACAGTTTTCTTTTGTTTTAGTGGCATCTCAGCAACTGTATACTTGGGTAGTCACAATCTTCATGAAACCGAATCCACCAGGGTCATCGTACAAAGTCGGCACCTCATACGTCACGAAAATTACAACAAGTCAGACATCAGCAATGACATCGGAGTGATTGAGTTGGAAACAGAAGTGGAACTCAACGAAAACATCAAGGTTATAAGCTTGCCTTCTCGTGATGTAACAGAAGACTATGTAGGTAAGTTGGTGTATAAACTATTTGGTGGTTATGGGAGTACCATTAAAGTGTTCTATCTCTAGGTGCAAATGTGAAACTAAGCGGATGGGGCCGTGTGGCTGGTGACCAGGCAACCTCAGCGGTCCTGCTGGAAGTAAACAGCACGGTTATTAGTAACACGCAGTGCAGGCAAGTGTATTCCATCGTCATAGATTCTATGCTGTGCATCTCTGGAACTGGAGGAGTGGGGTCTTGCAAGGGAGATTCTGGTGGTCCTTTAGTATACGACAACGTTCAGATCGGTGTCGTTTCCTACGGAGCTACAGGTTGTGCTGTTGGTTATCCTTCTGGCTTCTCCAGAGTTACCAGCTTCCTGGACTGGATTGAGGAGAAAACCGGATTGAGTTTATAACTTGTCATAGAATAGCTCTGATAAAATAAACTTATTTATTATTATTCGTACTGTTGTTTTCATTACGACTACTTTATTTTTACCTCGATTTTCCATTGGAGCAAACCATTTAGTACATGTTATTACCAGATCAATTTTAAGGCTGCTACATTCCTTACTAGTCTTTCATTTTAATACTTTTATCTTCTTCAAGAAGTCAATCAACTTTCTATGAAGCAAATCTAATTTACAAAATTTCTAAGTAAAATCGAGAAAATGTATAAAGCTTTAATTGTCCTTCTCTAATACTAAGGCTATCAACTATTATCTAAATAGCTTTGCTTTTACTTTTCCCTAATAGTTTCTTCAAATGTTTCCTGATCCTTTAACGTATGTATTCAATGACAACTAAAAAGAAATATAAGTGATATGTAAATGCTACATCTACAAATGGTCACTTCTGCTCAATGTCTAGGTCTTCAAATGGCCAAGCTGACAGAGAGCGATCTGCTATTTCAAAGGTACTAGGAAAGCAAACCCTGTGCTGCTACTAGGCAAAACAATATTCAAAGTGATGATGTTGCAAGAACTAACTACTCTACGGACCAATACCCCAATCAGTATTAACATAAACCAGTAATATTTAGTAAACAGTCGGGCGAATTTCTTAGATCTCATCAGTATACCGTAGGTGAGACAATCAAGGAATAATCTAGCTCCATATCTATAGTTAAGACACCAAAGGTCGCTGATAGAAACAAATAATATGTATATGTCGGGTGGCTACGGCTGACGAACGATCGCAGCTGTCTACTAGGTATTGCATGTATAATTCAATGCTGATTGGGACATTAGCCAGCAATAGTTGCTTGCTGCAATATCATCAGGTAAAAAAATATATCTAAATTGTATTCCAATTCTTCGGACTCGATTTATTGCTACTAAATGTTCGGAAATAGCATTTTTGCGAAAAGAAACAATTTAGCTTTTTTTCATGATGATTCATTGTGATTCATTGTACATGGAATCTTTGGAATAGTTTTAATCATTTATTATTGTACGTAAATATATAGATTAGAGAATTAAATAGATATTTATTGTTTATTTAAAAAAGCAAACTCAAAGGTTTAACATATTTTTAACTCGTATGACGTTAATACAACCATTATTATTTTTAATCCTACCTTCAAAGATTTTTTGGTATCAGCTAAAGATTTGTTGAGAAATACAAAATGTCGCAGACATATCAACAGATCTATGATTGATGGCAATTATCATGCCCATTTTTGACTAAAAACTCAAAATAGCCCTCCTTATCTGACTCATTAAATAGTACTCTAAATATAAAAGCGAAGCAATGTCTGTCTATTTAGTTTGCTGGATATACTCAAACATGCAGGCGACGGTCTTGTGCATCTTCTTCTTGGCAACAGCTTGGGCTATACCCAAGGCAAGTACATCCTTCCTTTTTATTGTATTTTATACTAATTGTTTTGTTACAGAGTGACTTTGAGGCAGAATTCAACAGGCTCTATGTGGATCCACTAATTGATCAAATTCCTGAGGATGTGTCATCAAGAATAACCCAAGGCGTAGAAGCTGTCCCACATTCCATTCCATTCCAAGCTTACTTAAGCATCTCAACCAATTCTAAGACGTCGTTGTGTGGCGGATCCCTCATTTCTCCAAAACACATCCTGACAGCTGCCCATTGCATAGAAGGGTAAGTCAAAAAGATTTCTAACCAATACCTGTTTCAACAATTATTGTTAAAAACAGAGCCATTTTTACAATTTTGATTTCAGCGCCGTTACAGCAACCATGTATCTGGGTGCCCACAATTTACTAGAACCTGATAACTGCAGGATTACCTTGAAAAGCAAGACCTTCATCCTCCACGAAAACTTTGACAAATCAACAATCAACAACGACATTGGAATCATCGTGTTGGACCAAGCTGTTGTACTCAACGATTGTGTCAATGTTGCAACACTTCCGTCTCACGATGTTACCGACGTTTTCGAAGGTACAGTCAGTTCTAGAACATTAAATTTATTAGTTTCTTTTTGTCTACAAAGACTTCATCTCTTCTAAAGCTGTTGCAAAAGGTGGCAACTCTAGGATAATGTTCCCTATATATCCCTAGAGAAGAAACACTGTTAAAGACACATCCCATCAGCTTTATTGTTGTCCACATGTCATTTCTATTTATTCAATACCATCATTTATTTGTACGTGTTTGTATTTTTCAGGTGCGAATGCAAGAGTAAGCGGATGGGGTCGCACCACTGGTGACGGCTCGACCTCTCCAGTCCTACTCCAGGTGAACAGCACTATTATGAGCAACTTCCAATGCAGATACATCTTCGCCACCGTCAAGGACACCCAACTGTGTCTCTCAGGGACTGGAGGAGTGGGCTCCTGCAAGGGAGATTCTGGTGGCCCTTTGGTGCATGGCGATATGCTGATCGGTCTCGTCTCCTACGGAGCTTCAGGTTGTCGGTCTGGATATCCCTCTGGCTTCACCAGGATCACCAGCTACTTGAGCTGGATCGAAGAAAAAACCGGTTTGAAGTTGTAGAGTTGCCCGAAAATTTGTACGCACGATTTTAATAAAATTAATGAATTTTGTTTATTTTTGTTTTATTTTGGGACTCATGGTATGTTCCTAAGTATATTCCTGTATTTTAGGTAATTGTATGTGCAGTTCTTTCATTAGTCTCAAAAAGCGTATAATTTTAGTTGATTACTAATTTTTGGAATTATTTTGAAACAACTCAGTAACTTTAAGGTAAAATAAAAAAGGGTTAATTGAATGTTATAACTTTATTAGTGATGTACATGATTTGGTACGTTTTCTGAAGAACATGAATATTGGAAAATCTAAATATAGGTACTATTTTTCACATTTATAAATATAGAGGCACTTTAAGAGCCAATTGTTTGAATAGTTTCAGACAAAAAAAGGTTATATAAGCATGAAATTAAAAAAAAATCGTCTTTACTAAAATACCTTTAACAACCTTTTACGAAGAATGAAGAAACTAAACTAATAATAATAATAATCATAAGTAAAAATCTACTGTTTCTACTTTAGTTAGACAAATCATTAGCCTAAGTTTAATCATTCTGCGCCAAATATCTTCAGAAATATTTTAGGATATTTTTTTAATTCCTACATCTCAAATATTACCGATTTGGGCCCCCATGTTCATAGAACTTTCTAGATTTAAATCATTCAGAGATTTGCTCCTTAAAGTTTGTTGGATTAAGAATTAAAATAGATTAGTTTTAGCAAATGTTATCACTACTAAATCTACCAAAAAAAATTACAGCAAAGTAGGATTTAAAGGGATTATAACGTATTTGCAAATATTTTTTTAAATTCAGGGCAATCGCAGATGTATTTTTCCATGTTACATCATAAACTGATTAGAAAAAATTAAAATAATCCGATAAATTTGATTGTCTCAAGTACTTCAAAAGATTAGAATAACATTATTAATTCGATTTAATACCCCAAGATTATAGTATGTTACGGGATTAAGAAGGTACCACGATGTTGCTCAAAATAAAAATATTTGTACCAATCTTCGTGCTTTGTTCATTACCACTGTTTGGACAGGTAACTAATATATTTATTTCATTGGTACTAGATATGTTTACTAATCGCATGCAGGCTATAAAGTAGTGATACACCGCTCCTTCCCCCATACAAATTATAAGTACGTTTTATTTCTCAGTCAAACAATCTGCCGGGGACACGAATCATTGGAGGAGAGGAAGTGCCACCACATTCAGAACCGTTCCAAGTGTTCCTTAACTTCACCGGAAGTGACAATACAGCTTGGATCTGCGCAGGATCGCTCATCACTGCCAGTTACGTCCTGACAGCCGCCCGCTGCGGCTATGGGTAAATATAGTGTCATTTCACTTCAAATAGCGATAGCAATAATATTTGTAGGGCTACTTTCGTGGAGGTTATACTGGGTGTTCATAATATCAGCGAGATCGAAACGACCCAAATAAAACTACAAAGCGAAAGCATCACACTGCATGAAAATTTCAAAGAAGACGTATCCGCGTACGTCTCCGAAAACGACATTGCAGTGATAGCGCTAGAAGAGTCTGTTACCCTTACCGATTCCATCCAGTTGGTGAAGCTACCATCTGGCGACGAACCGGAAGAAACTTACGTTAACAAAACCGGTAAAGTAAGCGGATGGGGACAGACAGACGCCTACAACAGCAGCAGTTTGTCCTCTGTGTTGCTGTCGCTAGAAAACACTATCATAAGTAATGAGGAATGCACCCTAGTATATAACGACTTGAAAAATTACGATATCTGCATGAAGACAGTCGAAGGGGAGTCGCCTTGTGTTGGGGATTATGGATCGCCGTTGGTAGTGGATCAAGTTCAGGTCGGTATAGCGTCCCAGAATGTCATGTACTGCATTCCTGGGTATCCTTTCGTATTCACAAGAGTTTCCAGCTTCCTAGACTGGATCAAAGTGAATACTGATTTGGTAGATAACAATGATGTCACAACTACGTCCTAACATGTTTTTCTAATAACGTCTAAATAAAAATATCTGCATTTTGTTTTCTTACTGCTTTAATGTCCTAGATGTAGCTACTGTTTGGATTACCATGAAGGTACCGTAATGGAGTTGATGATATCGATGATAATCCTCTCAATTTCACTTACCATCTATTTCCAATCCTGTGGAATGTAAGAATATAAGGCATGTTGCAATATAGCCAGTTCTATATAACTTTTTAGAAATAGATGATCAGCTTCGAGTATATCTTAATAATAATTAGTTGTTTAAGTCGTTTGTTAAAGAGCACATATGATATTATTACTGAAGCAGCTACAGTAAAAGTTACTGCACTTGTTTTCTTAGATTTCTGCAAAGCATTCGATATATTCTTTGCCACTTTGCATTCTGTGAGTCTTGCAGATCAATCCATACTTTTTAATTATTATTTATGTGATCGGAATGCCCCAAAGTTCTATTTTAGGACCCCCTCTCTATACATTATGTTTTGCAGTCATTTCTATGCGGATGACACACGATTGTATTTTTCATCTTCTGTTTCTGAGGTAAATAATGCTTGTCAGAAAATAAATACTGCTATATAGCTCCAACAACCGACCCCCATTCTACTAGTATGATAGGTAGTGATGGCCGAAAAATGTCTTTTTTAATGTCTCTAGGGCCAGATAAGGAATATTCCGTTGATTTTGGGCCAAACGAATCCAAAGCCTACCTTCCCATACCCATCCCCATAATTCTAATCACGTCCAACTATTGTGGCAGGTAGGCAAGCCAGAAAACTGCTGAAAATACTGAAGCTCCATCAGGCAAAAGCAAACTGAAACTCGAACAGGGAAACTTTGGGCCAAAATCAACTGAATATTACTTGTCTGTTCTAGAGATGTGTAAAGAGTCATTTTTGTGGCACCACTGCCTATCATATTAGTTGGATATTTGTAGGGGTAGCTGAATTGGATCCGTTTAGTCCAAAACAATCGAATATTGCTTGTCTAGCTGTAAGGATGTGTAAAAAGTTATTTTTCTACCATTACTGTACGTCATAGTTGTTAGATGTGGGTAGGTTATTGGGGTATGTAGGACAGTGGATGGCGAGGAATGGATTTTGTTTGTCTGGCCCCAAGCTATAAAAATCACGCAGTTGAAATAAATTCTTGAAGTACCTTTCAGTGTGAAATTATTGCTTTTTTATGGCCCAGTTTAAAGGTGTACAATTTGTATCTATTTGTACTACAGTAATGTAATGACTGTCTTTTATTATGGAAATAGAATCTGTAACAAAAGCCGGGACGCGTAGTCATTTATTTATTAGTTCTCGGAACGGATGGGCCAAAAAATAAAGTATTTTCTTCAACACAAATAATCGCGCCATTATTCTATGGCTAGAAATTGGCCTCAATGATTTGGGATCGAGGGGGATTATCCCTCTTTATCCTGCCTCATCTCGTGACAAATAATCGAGAGTTGGTAAAGTCGTCCTTCGGAGAAATTTACTAATGTTTTTAACAAGTTCACTTAGAGTCGGGGTTATGCGACAGTCATCTGTTGCGTCTGGGAGGCACCAACGTAGAAACCCATATTTTTAATAACGCGCGAAATCACGAGAAGAGCGTAGAGGTTCCAAAGTAGAATTAAATAAAATTGTAAAATTGATAAGGATTGGAAAAGAAAGATATATGATAAGCTGGTTTTTTGACGGATTTTCCAAGCTATAAGAGTAGATTAAATGAGATCGACTAGTCCGTACCGTATTTGCTACACGGAGTCGCTAGAGGAAGGCTAGGGTTACTTGTAAGTCACATAATTATTTATATAAATGTAAATTCAATCCATTAGAAAATTATTAACATGGCATAGTTATGCCAAAGCATCCCGACATTCAGGGTTCCCGCCAATAAGATGAGAACATAAACTTCTGAACCCAAGAAATGGGCGTGTCGAAGCGAAATGTCGAATTCGGGAAAGATCTCGAAAAAGTCAGTTCTCCCTTGAGTTTCACATTGAGCAGTCGACTTAGTTTTAGAGTCTCGGGCTAGTTAATTAAAATTAATAATGGATAAAGTTTTTCCAAATTTTGTTAGGGAGCGCGCATTCCCTGAATCTCGGTACGCTGTCGCGTGTAAATAAATTAACTAATAATGTTGTTCGAGCCGTTGTGTTGTTATTTTGTTTGTTTTGTTTATTGTTATTAAAACCTTTCCTGGAAGTTTTGGTGTTTCCTTTTGTTTCTCTCAACTTCAGTGTCACCCTGTATAGCCAGCCACTGAATTACATTCTACGTAAGCAATAGAGGGTAAGTGCCTGAAGTTCATTCTCTGAACATACAACATTTCTAAGTTCCAACGTATTAATTAAAGTATTATGATAATTATAAACTCTCTTTCGAGAATTAAATAGTGAACTCTTGTGAAATCCAGACTCGTTATGATACTGGTCAGAACGATAGATAGATAGATAGATAAAGAAATAACCCCTCAGGTTACAGATCTTAAGGAATTTATCTGTTTGATGCATAGTCCTTGTAAGTCTATTATTTCTCTTTCTCCTTCTTTTCTACTCAATGCTGTTCTTTCTTTACCTGAGTTCGGGGGTAGATTCCTATTTTACTTTAATTATGTTAATTGTTATTATTTTTATTACTATTATTATTATTAATTTTTGATAGGGAAAATTTCACCAACTTATCTCATAATATCTATTATTGATGATCATAGACTGTCTCAAAACGCCCCTCGCCCTCATTTAGGGCGGCGATAAATTAATATGGCCCCCCCGACCACACTTTCTGCGAACAATGTTTTGAATTTATAATCGGCCGTTATATTGGAGTTGTATTGTGGCGGCAACAATATCCGATACCGCCCATTGTTCCAGCAAATACAAAGGACTCGGGTGAAATATAATAAGGGGATGCACAGGATGCATGGCCATGATATTGGTTCCGATTCTCCGGGTCGGGCCAGCTGCGAGTTGTGCCCATTGTGGGGTATAAACATTATTCTTCGATTATTCGCTCCGCGGACGACAAAGTAATCTAAAGTAAATATTGAGATATCGACGTGGGTATAGAAATATTTTTTAACGACGATCTGCCGACGACAACGTCTCTGCAAATAAGCCGTTCGGGAATTTGTGGGGTTGAAGGTTTTTCTTTTATTGGGGCGCATCGAAGTATCGAAATACAAATAATGTATTGATGGTTGTTGGTTTTGTAACATGGAAAAAAAATTTCTAATATTAGCACAAATAAACAACAGTTATTTTAGATTTTTAGTTGAAATATTGTTTTCTATATTTTTAATACAGATTGGGGCAGTTTCAATGTAAAGTTCGCTTAAAGTTTAACAGAATTAACATTCTGCATATAACGATAAGGAATCATTCTGTCGCAAATTAAGACTTATCCACTTAATGAAACATAAAAAAACATAATCGCACGTAATGAATCCTTTGAACGTCAGTAGGAAAATGCACAGAGAGGAAGCAAGAAAATCTGGCATCGCCTGCACCTGGAGCGGGCGTTATCCTGCAGATTTACGCCGTACTCACTCGCGTTCATCGCGGTGATATACTTCGCGTAATCTCCGCCGCTGGTAAAAATAGAAAGTAGCGAGTAATAAGCAGAGCACGGAAAGTGGTACACATGATTCATCTTTAAAATCAGAAATCATAAACGAGGAGAGAAACATGTGTACAAGAACTGTTATTAAAACGTAATCTTGGACTTTATAAATTGTAGAAAATGAATTTTATTTGTTGAAAACATAGGAAAATATTTCATTTATTATAATACTTTTAGCAATAAGGATACTTCGTCTTATTAGACTACAAGCCCATCGAAAATTTTCAAGGGGTTATTTGACCCAGCATGAATTACTTATAAATCAATACTACCACATATAACAATAACTTTAGAAACTATGCCGTTGGTACAGGTGAGTACACAGGTAAGCTAAACCTGCCCACCATAAGCATGTGGAATCGATGCCGCACATTTTTTAATGACTTGAAACAATGGGGGCTAAAATAGAGGGTTGCGCCCTGCATTTCCCTGTATCAGCAGATGCGTACGGCGTCATTAAGAAAGTTATCTACGTATCAATCTCAAACTTCCTCTGTAAATGCCGTACTGTAGTAAATCACCAAAAACCGGGCCAAAATTTTCAGAAAATCAAAAATTTTCCTAAGCTTCCGGTATTGCTATTTTTGTACGGCATTAGTCGAGGTTCATTTTTTTTGTATAACCTATACACTTTAGAAATGTCGTACAAAAATGTTTTGCCGAAAACCACCCCCCTTGGTGGACAGGTTTAGCTTACCTGTGTACTCACCTGTACCAACAAGAATTGACGGTATAGTTTCTAAAGTTATTGTTATATGTGGTAGTATTGATTTATAAGTAATTCATGCTGTCAAATGACCCCTTGAAAATCTCCAGTGGGCTTGTAGTCTATATGTGGTAACACTGTGTTACAATATGTATTTTCATCTGTGCGTACATTTAATTTATTATTGCTATCGCCTTTCGTCATCATTATTTCGGGGATTACGTCCAATATGTGAAACCAAGAATTTTTACCAAGTTCCTAGTGTATTTACCTACGGGTTGAGTTGCGGAGTACTGGCCAAGTTCCAGTCCTGGTTAGTGAACTGCAAGGCTCCACCAGAGTTGACGTTCAGTCGCCTTCCTTGATGAGTCCGCACAAGTCCTGTAACGAAGTTCGGCTCAGTTTGGACAATTCAACTCTTTGCGTTTTGCACATATTTGGATTTTAGTCGCCTGGAATGGGTTGGAAACTTGTAATCGGATGTTATACTGGTATTTACATTTTTCGGGTTTCGTGAGAAGTTTTTTTTTTATTTTTCGATAATCGAAACTGGAGAGATTTTCTGGGCGTCCAGAGTATTATCATCGGCGATCAGCCATCGCCGATAATAACGAGGGTCGTTTGGGCCTCCTCGGATATAAACGCACAAACATTTTACCGATTAGTATGATTTTTGTCAGTAACTAAATTTGCTTAACAGATCATTTTAATGTAATATA